GATTTTGGATTTGCTTTGGTGCAGTGCTTTGTATTCTGCTGCTTGTACCTTTTGGAATGGTAATGTTTGTCTTGTGCCATTGAATGTTGGAGATGTTTAACTTTTGATCTGTACAGGGCCCCATAGCTAAGAGTTTGCCTTAGATCTTGGTGAGACGTGGGACTTGGACTTTTCAGAAATGCTGGAACTGTTGGGACTTTGACAACTCTTAGGGATCAATTAAAATGCCTTTTGCACAAAGGGAATGTACCCAGGGGCAAAACATCTTGGTTCTAATGTAACACAATGTTCAAGTTGTAAAATGTTAATAAGAATGTCTATGTACCTGGAAACTGGCTTGAGGAAATGTCTGGCTGCCAAGTAGACAAGGGGTGGATTGTACTGGTTGATACATTGTGTCAACCTGAGAAATTTAAAAGTTTAAATGACTCAGCAGAGGGCCAAGATTCTTAGTTTGTAAACATCCTCATCATCCTCATCCTGTGCAAGAGGAGGGCATGGACGTTGTGTGAGTTCTATACCCATAGCCCCTGGGTAGCTTATTTATAATGTAAGGAGTGGGGAGAGGCTGGCTGGAAGCTCCGGCTGCTGCCCTTTCCTTTGCTCTTCACTGTTTTCTACTGCCATGCACTGCTATTCTCTGCCATGTGTCAGTATACCTGGGAGCCAGCTGAGTGTAGACTGAAACCTCCACAAACTGAGCTAAGTCAACCTTTCCTTTAACTTTAGATGTTGGGTATTTTGTCCCAGCAATGAGTAACAAGTAACTGAGACAATATTAGATGTAAATGTTTAAAACAGTAACTAGACTATGTATATAAGGTGTTCCATAAATGTCTGGTATATGAAGGCTTCACTCTAAGCTTTTGTTCTCTCTTAAAGAGAATAGTGATAGTAAGGACTTACCCTCATTGTAAGTGTTATTACTTACTCAATATGAAGCTATCAAGTAAGGGGATGAGGAGGTCTTTTCATTTGAAGGTGGATAATAGCATACCTGAATAGGAAAATGTCATCCAGCTTTCTGAGCTAAGCTGAGTACAACCAAGAACACCCTGTCTCAGCGGCTCAGGGCAGCACAGACTTCTTTCTCTTCTTGTATGTATGGGACAGATTGACTGTGGTTAGGGAGGATCATATAGTTCTTTCCATGTGGGGACTCAGAGCACCAAGCACATTCCATTTTTGTGGCTTGCTTTCATTTCAGCCACAAAGGTAAGGATAAGGGAGGGAGGGAAGTGGGAATGAGGAGGAAGGGAGGAGAGCGGGGGACAGAGAGAGGCAGAGTCGGTATGAGCTGAGGCTTTGCAAAGGACTTAAGGGGCAAGTGGGCAGTGGAGTGATGGGTAATCACCTGCCATTTTCTCTCCTGTCCCCATTCCCCAAAACTGACCAGCTGGCTTCCACTGTGTGCTGTTGGGCATCAGTGAATGGCAAAGGCAAAGAAGGATCCATTGTACATTGAAATTACATGAGACAAGGGGCCAGGGAGATGGCTAAGTAGAATAAACACTTGTCTGGCAAGTGCAAGGGCCTGAGTTCAATCTCCAGTTCTGAAAAAAATAATAATAATTACACGAGACAGTGTCAAGCTGGAGTGTTCTCTTTTCTGCTAACAAATACAAATCACTTGCAACCAGTATTTATCCATAGGTTTGTGGAAGGGATAATAGCAACTTTGTGTCTTGAATCCCTAAGTGAAGTGACTTCAGTCCCCTGGGTTTCTTAATAATATTTAACATAAACAGGTTGTTTTGAATAACTAGCCTGTGCACAGATTGAGTGGCTCACTTAGATGAACAGACCTAGGAAGCATCCAGCCCCCGTGAGGCACACTTCACTGTGCGTCAGTGTTGGCTTCCTACATCTGTGTGGTCCACTGGCAGTGCTCAGAGACCCTGGCTCTGAGTCCCTCAAGGGAGCAGAGAGAGTGAGGTGGAGAAAGAGAGACACAGATCAACATGAAGTGATGGGTTCACGCCACTGGGCAAGTCGCCTAGCTGTCTCCACCCAGAACTTGGAAACACTGCTTGGGGGCAGGTGACAGCTTCAGGCCTACTTGTCAGTGACTTCTCAGTCTCCTCATTCTTCCTCTCAACAAAGCAGTGAAGTGATCTGAATAAGCCTTTCGAGTAACTGAAAGGACTTACAAATCAGAAGGGAAAAATGTTTCAAACTTTGGATGCTAAAGAGAACCATTCTGTAGTGCTAGCATCAAGCAAGCGTTAAAATAGTCATAGTGGGTTTCAGAGGGACATTTTGGTACCTGTTGCCCTCAGATTTGCCTTCAGGAAGCTTCCAAAAGGATGGTCCTCAGGACTCCAAGTTCTGTGGGGCACTATGGGACATGGAGTACAGCTCCAGAGTTGGCCTCCTCTGGAGGGTGACAAGCAAGCACACATACTGATGCGTCGGAGTATTCACTGGGTGTCTGTCAAACAGATGAACTTAGGTATAAGTGGAGGTGGATGTACACAGATCCACACAAAGTCCACGGTCTCTGGGTCTGTCTGCCTGCCTTCTTGCCTATCTATCCATGTGTCTGTGTCTTAGAGCCCGGATTGCAACACATATTTTCTCTTCTTTTGTACTCAGTGGTTCTTAATAACAATAAGATGTCCTGTGTAAGCTAGCTGTGCCTTGTAAGGATCATCTGTGTTAGTAAACCTATAGGAGAGGAACAGAAGAATGGTGTTCTTTATGCTGTTAGTGCCAGCTAGGCGACTCGCCCAGTGGCGTGAACCCCTCACTTCACGTTGATCTGTGTGGCTCTTTCTCCACTTCCCTCTCTCTGCTCCCTTGGGGGACTCAGAGCCAGGGTCTCTGCTGAGCCAGGGGTCTTCTAAAGGCCCTTTTCTTGCTGGTAGAGTCCTCATCATAGTTTCAACACTTCCTGCAGTTCTGGAATGTGGACCATCCCTTGCTTTCCTAGACAAGAATGATCCCTACTGAGGCAGAGTATTACTTTTCACACTGCACTTGACCTGCTAAACAGGTTTCCAGTGTGTCCTGGAAGGAGCTTTGGACAAAATAAGTTAGATATACAGCTACTTTCTCTTAGTTCAATGAGAAGAAAGATTTGTACTAAAATTGTTTAGACAAGATATCATGTCTGCAACTTGTACTCTGAATAATGAAGGCAACATTATGCAATGCAATAATTATTGTAACTGTCCTACTAACCTGTTTTGAAACTGTCTCATTACTATTTCTTTCTCAATAGAATTAATAAAAATATGTATTCATAGCTCATTAGATATCTTGCTAGGAATTAGCAATTTCTAGCCAAACGTTGTGTTGATTTATAAACACACACTGTGTTGTTCAAAAGTGAGAATGACAAAAAACCTTCAGAATTAATCCGAGTTGTTTGGAACTAGAAATCTAAAAGAAGAACTGGAAAGAATAATTGTAATAAAGAGAGAAAGGATGGATAATCATTCTATTTGTAGCCTTAGATTTTTTTCTTTTGTATTTTAGGGAGAGTCTATAGGGTGTTCAGGTTCTCACTAATAGATCGGATTCGTAGTGATCCACCTATTTATAGCCTCCCAAGAGCTGGGATTATAGTCATGCGCCACCATGCCCAGTCTCAATTGCCATCTCAGTGCACCTCGGGGGTGGGGCTGGCATGGCAGACCCAGGAATTGAACCCTGGGCCCCTATGCCTGCTTGCAGGTGCTTAATCCGCTGAACTATTTGACCAGCTCTATAGCCTTAGATTTAACAACAAAAGTGTTGTAGATACAAAGTTGTGTAGACACATAACTTCTAGACTTCAAATAGTTAGGGATTTATAAACACAAACTGGCTAGCTAAAATTGGTCAATATAATAACTTGGGTAGGCTATAAAGTAAGACATAAACAGGATCAGAAAATAGTGGGGATAGTCACAGTTTTACCTTGGGATATTTTTCCCCCACAGTGTTTGTTTGAAATTTTATGTAGCAGTTAAACTTACAAAGTGTGTCATGAAAGAATAAGTTGAGAACAGGCAAGATGGTGCACATCGGAGACCATCGAATCAGAAGAGGGGAGGCCCTGTGTCGAAGGCCTATCATCCTCCTGGTATGGACGGTGTTGTCACTGCTGCAAGGGTTGACTCTGCACCTTGTGGTGGCGGCTCAGTCACTTACAGTGGAGTTGACAGGCCAGGCCTGCACATGGGAAGGTTTAGATAGTTGGACAGGTAAGTCAGAGAACAGAAGGAAAACACACCTTCATCAGGAGTGTGATATCTGTCACTTTATGATGGCTGAAGTTTCATAGATGATGGCTAGTAAAAGAAAATAGTCCTAAATCTTGCCAGTTTCTTCATTTCTCACATTTTCTCCTTTTCCAGGCTTTTTTTTTAATCAGTGCATGTCTGCAGTACATAATAATTGCATTCATTGTGGGGAGATGGCACACACACATAACACATCTTAATTCTCTTTTATCCCCTCCCCTCCCTCTTCTCTTCTTCCATAGATGTTTGATTTAGTAATTACATTAACAGAAGAAATAAGAATTTTCTAAAAGGTAACTATCTGCATTACAGAACTTTGAGGGAACTGACTAGAAATAATCCCTTAAATCTCTTTTATTTTCATCTTATTTTAGCACACAGCACTGTCAATTTTATATAATAGAGCTTACAAATATATCTAACCATGTTTTTTTGGCAGTTTTTGTCCTTTGGTCCAGATATGTAACTCAGTTATGGTAGCTAATGAGAGTTTCTGCATCTGAGAGTCTCCCAGTAATTTGGTAATTTTAACTATTCTTTGCCACAGTCTAGTTTGCTACTCCTCTATGTGATTTATTTCATTTAGAGCATCTATTTTTAATGTTATTTTTACACCCAAGTAGTTGAATTGCCAATCTTCTTACATGAAAGGGATGAGAAATATTATAAGGAATGGAGTGTTTCTCCTCATTTGTAAGATGCATGTGAAGATTCTCTAACATTTCTGGTCCAGGTACATGATAAAAAGTTTTGTCTCCCTTCAAATTTCAGAGCTCTGAACCAAACTGAAGAGGAGATGGATCAAAGGATTCAGGCTGCAGAACACAAGACTCAGAAACAAGTGAGTTTCTAGGATTGGCACAATTGCAGCAGCACACCCTTCCAGGGGACAGGGAACAGCAAGCTGAGGTCCTCGTGCAGCCTCCAGCAGCAGGATTTCTACCGCGGTGCTTCTTGGGAGAGCACACAGAGAGACCGAGATTATGGTCATGTGAACAGATAAGGCAGGCAGCCTTCAGATAGTGGCAAGCACAGGGAAGGAGTGTGTGACAGATGGGGAGTGGGACAGGAGCCTGCTCAGGCTGGGGCCAGAGGCCTCTCTGAAGAGGTGACAGCCCTGTCTTACTGCCTGAGTCCTCTGCCAGCTTTGAACCTAGATTACCATGAAATGAAAGTCTACCTTTCAATGTAAGATGTTTAATAATAGAGTATTATTATTATCTGAACTCTTCAAGCTGAAAATTATATGCCACCTTTGGTGATTTCCACTGAAAAAAATAATTCTTTGTCTCCTTATAAGATACGCTCAGGTACACAGAAAATACACATAACTCTTTGTTCTGACTTTAGAATGGGGTGACACCCATTCACTGTCTTTAATGAGGATTAGATACGACAATCTGTGAAATGTTCTCCTGGCTCTGCTTTTGCTCTGGCTGTTACCCGTGCTTTGGATGCCATGCTCTACTTTTCACATGCTGAGTTTGAGGACTTTCAGAAGAGTTTGCCACTGCCCTTGCTGATCTTCTCTATATTTGATTTATATGGTGAAAACATCTTCCACGACTTCCCAGGTCATGAACGTTACCAACAGAAAAGTTTCTTCAGGACCCTTTGTTAAGGCTTCCTTCCTCTTATCTCTATCCTTTTCCTAGGCAACCACTCATTTTTTGTTTGTTTTGTTTTTGTTTTGTCACTATAGATACTTTTAAGGTTTTCAGAATTATACCTAAATTAAATCTTAAAGCAGATACTTTTTTTATTTTTGTCTGTCTGGCTTCCTTTGTCCTACAGTGAACCTTTGTATCGATATTTATGCTTTCTTATAGCAGAGTAGTATTCCATTACATAGCTGACTTTAGTTCCTTGTAGTCCTTCATTGAAGGTCTTTGAGTTAAGTTTTCTCTAGTTACTGGCTATTGCAAATGAAGGTTCTGTGGATATTAATGTACAAGATTTTAGATAGACTTTTTTTTTTGTCTCTCTTGAGTAAATTTCTACAGTGGAAAGCCTGGACTATCTGCACAGATGTATTCTTGGTTTTATCAGACTCTGCCCAACTGATTTCCAGGGTGGATGTGCCATTACAAAGCCTTGCGCGGCATCCCCTCCTTCAGTGTTCTAACAGGAGTGCAGAGGAATCCTGCCACTGCTTCAGCTACAGTTCCCTGCTGACTGATGCTGCTGAGAATCTTTTCGTCTGTTTGCTTTATTGTATCTCCTTTGGGAGGGTGACTGTTGAAAAATTTTGCTCATTTTAGGAATCTGATTTTTTTCTAATTACCGAGATTTGAGTTTTATTAATTCTGAACAGAAAAATTATCAGATACTGGTGTATAAATATTTTTACCCAAATTGTGACTTGTCTTTTCATTGTGCTAACGTTGTCTTTTGAACAGTAGAAAATTTTAATTTTGATAACGTTCAAATGTTCAATGTTTTCTTTCACATGGTTTTAGTGTTTTATTTAAAAATCTTTGAGTAATGCATGATTTTTCATAAGTTTTATTATATTAGGTTTTACACATAAGATCTGTTTTATATGTGGTACAAAGTGTGGACCAGTGGTTGTTATTTTTTTTTAATTGTTCTAGCACCCATTGTTGAAGACAGTTCTCTACTGAACTACCTTGTCCTTTGTCTAAAATCAGTCTAGTATATTTGTGTAGATTTATTTTGGGGGTCTGTTTTCTGTTTAATACATTGATTTGTTTGTCTTTACATTGATATTAATATTTGTTACTTCATAGGAAGTCTCAAAATGAAGTGGTATTCATCTTCCTTCTTTTTTAAAGATTGTTTTGATTATTTTCAATTTTTAAATTTCCATTAAATTACCTTGTCATTTTCTAAAGAAAATAAAAAGCAAACGCAAGTCTGCTGGGGCTTTGATTTTAGTTCACTGCTTCTGCAGATCAGACAGATTTGCTTCATAACAATATTGAAAATTCTAGGCACAGATATGATTTATACCTCACTTTACTTAGGTCTTCCTTACAGCGATGTTTTATAATTTTCATTGTGCAGATATTATTATTCCTCCTTTCTCAAATTTATTCCTAACATATCATTTTACTTATTTATTTATTTATTGTTGTTGTTGATACAGGTTCTCGCTATGCAGTTCTGACTCGTAGTGATCCTCCTGTCTCAGCCTCCCCAGCACTGGGATTACAGGTGTGTGCCACCATGCCCATTTTCGGTGGTCAGCACAGCGCACCTGGGTTCCAGGGCTGGCACAGTATGCTGTACTGGGCATCGGATCCTTGCACTTGCTAAGCAGGCACTTAGACCATCTCCCTAGCCCTAGCATATCATTTTATGATACTCCTAAAAATGTTATTTTTTATTAATACATATTACTGATCTAAAATAATGTGTTTAGTTTTGGCCTGTTGGCATGCATAGAACGTGTCAGTCATTTCCACCTTACTATTTCCTGAAAAACTTTTTAAGCTTTCAATTTGTGATTGTTCTTTATAAATATATAGAAATGTATTTGATTTTTCTTGTGTGTTGCTCTTTTATTCTGCAGTGTTGTTTACATTGCTTACACTAAGCCGTTGATAGATTTCTTGATCGATGATATACTCTCTCAAAGACAGCTTTATTCTTTTTAATATTGATAATGCTTTTATTTTTCTTGACTTACTGCTTTGGCAAGAACAATAAAAATGATCAAAGCAGCCATTCTGTGGGGTCTGGGAGCTAGCTCAGTAGAATAAGCACCTGCCAGCACCTGCCTGGCAAGTGCAAGGTCCTGAGTTCAATCCCTGGTACCCCCCCCCCCCAAAAAAAAGGCCATTGTAGTACATATTCAGTTATTCAGGGTTAAGTACAATGTTAACAGTATGTTGTCCATAGATGTTCTGGACCATATTGAAGAGAACCCTTTCTGTTACTCATTCCCTATGAGTTATTATTTGGGAAAAGGATGTTATATTTTGTCAAATGATTTTCTGCGCCTACTGAACTAATCATATATTTCTAATTTAGAATAGTAATGTGAATTAAATAGATTGATTTTTGAATGTTAAAATGAGCTTCCACGCTTGAGATAAACCCCAATTAGTGATAATATTGTTATTCTCATTCATTATTGGATTCATTCTACAATGTATTAGTTACAGTATTTATATCTGTAATTATAGGAGAGTATGGTTTTCTTTTAATGTCTTTGATTTTAGTATCAAGCCAATGCTGCATCTCATAAAATGACTTAAGAAGTGTTTCCTTCATTTCTATCTGCTGGAACTCTGAAAAGAGCTGACCTGAGCCACCACTACTTCTTACTTACATTACCGTAATAGCTGAGTCTGAGCCCTGTCTGTGATCCCTTGTCTTTCTACCTCTCACAGGCTAGAGAAATAGACTGGTGACAGTTTCCTTAATTGGGCTCTGAGAAAAATTCTTTTAATTAATTAATTAATTAATTTTTTTGTGGAACCAGGGATTGAATTTAGACCCTTGCGCTTGCCAGCCAAATGCTTATTCTACTGAGCTATCTCCCGGCCTGAGAAAAATACTTTTAAATCCTACAAGCATTTACATTTGAGTTTGAGGCCATGGATCCAGTGAAGAGACTTCCATCTATGTGGGGATTAATGCCAGGAAACTGCTTGAATAGGCGCCTCAGTGGGAGGCCTCACCATTACCATCCCCCTGTGAGGTGGGCAGCTCTTACTTCATCTGGAAAGCTGGAGGAATTTAAGATAGCATCTTTAAAAAGTTACCATTTGGAGTTGCTCTTTTGCTAAACATTTTGAATGGGTTATTCAATCTGCATGAATTATTTCAGTTATTTGGATCAATTTTCATGAAATATTTGTTTCACTTGGATTTTTAGTTTACATAATTTAACGGATATGGATGAATTTACTTAGATTATGTAAATCCACTTAAAAGGCCCTACCTTTTGCCCCATTCAAACTGATTTCCTGTCACTTTGGTTTCCTTTTCATGTCTTTTTTTTTTTTTTTTTTTTTTTTTTTTTTTTTTTTTTTTTTTTTTTTTTTTTTTTTTTTGCGGGACCGGGGATTGAACTCACGCCTTTGCACTTGCCAGGCAAGCACTTATACTACTGAGCTATCTCCCCGGCTCCTCATGCCATTTCTTGAAGTTACCTTTTCCACATTGCCTGTTAGAATGCATGAGAGCATGTTTATTTTGGCTCCTCCTTTACTAAGTAGAAACTTCCAGAACAAGGGACCTCTGATCAGCAAAAGGCTGTTAGTGAGCATCAGTATGCTGAATCTCAGTGGTTATTACCATAAAACTAAAGGTGAACAATTCATTGAGAGTAAAACAAAGATTTAGAAATGACTTCGCATGGGGAGCTTCTGAAAGGCAACCTAAGGCTTTTCGCCACTTCCTGCTCCAGCGGACACTAAGGGCACTCATTTGATTCTGAGAAGTACATCGCGTGCTGCTCTGCACTTCCGCCCAGCAGCAGGCTAAACTTACGTCAGGGTCCCATGATCCTCTAGTGACGTCGCGGCCATCTTAGTTTGCGTAAGTGTACGCTCCAGTGCTCACACAACAGCAGAGTCCCCCAAGGATGCCCTTTTCTGCCTTTGTCTCTGTTGTTAAGCAACACATATCTGCCATCTTACAGAGGCACTTCCTGTGAAATGCGCAATGATGCAATTTTGATTCAGACGATGCATAAACTAGGGAAAAGGTATATTCACGACACCTTACTGAGTCCTGAGGTATGAAGGGTTCAGACAACCATCACAGCCATAATTATTAATATCTTTTAAGTGTTTAATGGATTAGTTGCTGTGCTGTGGCTCCCTATCAAAGTGTAATAGCCTTAGTGCCATCGCTTCACAGCTGTGTGTGTGGGCCATGGAATTCTTCAGTTCTTCTGAATCTACAGGTTTACTTTCCAGACCTACTGCACATCTGAAGCCTTCTTTTTCCTCCCTGTGTGGGAGAATTCAGGAAAGCTTGGTTTGGTGCAAAACGTTTCTCACCTGTAGGCTTCTCAAGGCTGTTTAATAGGCCAAACCTATTTAAATCAACAAAGTCTATTATTTTTTTTTTCCTTTTAGGAAAGATACAAAACTACAAAAGCCCTCTCCCACCTGAGACTTATGTACAAAACAGAAGTAGGAGATATACAAGTGACCATTAAGAAACTAAGAATGGAGTTATGTGGCAGGCCTCTAGGAGCAGTCTCAGGATCTCAGTGTGTCTAAGAAATTAAACTAAGCACATGTGGAATTATACTGAAGTGGCAAACAAAATCGATTTCAAAGTCAATTCTACTCCTTGAGAAGATCCCTTGAGCTCATCTTTGGTTTCCAAGACCTGTTTCTTACAGAGCTAATAAATATATCTGATCCTTTGAACACTTGTTCATCAAACCCTACTTTGCTTTTCTAAGTCTTTAGCACCCAGATGCTTCAGGTGCCCAGTGTCCAGCAGGCTTTTCTGCTCCTTGTCATAGAGACATGGCCCAGTGCTTTGTCATGTATCTCTGCATCGCTACCCTACCCCACTACAAGGTCTGGGTCAGTGAATACTTTTTAAATGAAATGAACATTGTTTTTCTATCTAGAAAGTTCCAGATCTAGGGTACCCAGATCAGCAAAAACTGAGAAAGAACTTTATGAAACATGAGCAGAGGTATAATTGAGTTTGGGCTTTGTCTCTGTTCGGTTCTAATGAGCAGGGTCCGCTGCGTTAAGCAATGTCCTGGCTGAGATTAACAAGCAGCTGTAGAGGAGGCCAGGAGAGCAGGAGAGGTATATGCAGCATTTACCAGTTTCCATGGCAGAGATATTCCCACCGCTACTGATTGGCAGCTGCAAGTTGACATCAGTGAGTACAGAACTGGGAAGAAATGTTTGCGGTAGACTCTCACCTGCTACAACAAGCTGGCCCAGTGTAGGGCTAGATTCATTGCTTGCATGTGGTTATTTCCACAACCATAATGGAAAAAAGTTTTATTTCCATGATGGAAAATAGATTACATGAAACAGATAATTTAAAAATCTCTATAAAACTGAAACAGAAAAAAATAAAAATAAAATAAAGTTCCGGGTTAGGCAGACACAGGGGCTGGGAGTTCAATCCCTGGGCCTGGGCCTGCTGGGCTGGCCCTGCTCCCGGGGCTCAGTGAGATAGTGAGACTGGGTGCAGTGGCACACACCTGTAACCCCAGTACTTGGGAGGCTGTAAACAGGAGGATCACTATGAGTCCA